AATATATGTATGTGTGTGTGTGTGTGTGTGTATATATATATATATATAAAACCCATGTGCTGCAGTCGATCTAAATAAGTTGATATAACGCAACATACAATTTTACAAAAATTGTAAAAGTATTATTCCTGAATATTTATTTCACTTTCAACCACTCGACATGTTCAGTGGCATCAGTGCTATACATACACATATAGTTCTTATTTTTTTCTTTGTATTTTTGCCCTCTATGGACAATAAAAGCGGTACTGTGCTATGACCAAAACATATATATATAAAAAACATGAATTAGAATATTTCATATCACACAATTTTTATGCCTTGTCTTTGATTTAAAGATGACAACATGCAAAAATCTACAAAAAATTGTCGAAATTGGAACACAAGGGTTAAGCCAGCAGCAGAGGACACCACGTTGTCTGCTTGACGAAGCATGGACTGCACAACACTGACACACTTGGATGCTGGCAACAACATCACTCACTGCTTCTGAACATGTGCTTTGGAGAAAATGTTGGATCTGTCATTGTAGATATTAATTCAACATTAACCCAGGAATGCCATTTCAAAGCACAGGTTCAGAAGCGTTGACTGATGCGTGTTCAAATGTCACACAGTCCATAAAACTGAGGCCAAAGTTCACTTAAGTGACATCATACAGCTCCCCAAGCACACAAAATGACGCCCTGTGCTGCTGCTGATGCTGCTGATGCGATTTTGTACAGCCCGTCAGCCAGTGTTGTTTTGTCTAACGCTGTTGTGTGAAGAGCACAGATGTGCATTTTGGTCATTTTTACAATGGTGACGTTCAGCCAACCGAACAATGTAAAATAAATCAGTAAAATGACCAAAATAGTCATTCTGTCTGGCCTTGTGAATACTTAATGAGTACTCATTGAATATTCAAATTTCGATTACTACGTTAGGGATGTACACTTTGACTCCTTATTGCTGCAAAACAACAAAATGAACGTCTCGGAACAGTTTTCTGTTTTAGAGAACACGCGAGAGATAATGAAATGTAATATTTTTTGTTTTTACGACGAGCTGAGTCTTCATTATTTTTCAGAAAAAGCAACTGTAAACCGTCGTTTACAGTATAATTAGCCAGTTAGAGTGATCTATTATTGCATTCAAAACATATTTGTACTCCAAGATATCTAACATGATTGATCGTTTTCGACGGTCGAAAT